GTTCTATTCAAGTAAAGTCACATGGAACAAATAAACATAAACTCAGGCACATATCAAAGGGAGCATTTAATTCTATTAGCTTAGCTAAAGATTGTTAAAGGTGAAGGGAATAATAGTTAAGGGTTTGGACTGTGCTGCCAGCCCATCCACATGACTTTGGGCAAATAACCTCTCTAGGCCTCAGTGTCTTCCTATGGTGATATATTGGGGGCAGCTGGTACTGGCTTGTAAGAACCAACTGCTAAATTTTTAGGGATTTTGTGAGTTGGTTGTTAAATATAGTCATTATTAAAACTTAAATTGTGCCAACATAGAATTATACAGATATTATGAAAACAAAGGTAATAATCAACACTCATCATTCTCTAATTCTTTGACTATGTTTACTATTTATTATCTGTGTTCTGAATGTTGGCAATGTATCTGTATGCTAGATTCTAATTATGCCACCTTGGTAGCTGAGAATTGGCCACGGTGGGAGTATTTACACCATGGGAATTGGCACACACTACAAATCAGTGCCTGTATTTTCTTTCAGAGAGCTGGTGGTTAAACATTTACCAGCACATCACTGCTCATCTGAAAATGGAGATGACAATAATAGCAGTACCCACCTCATTGAGTGGCTAGGGTGATTAAATCAGACAATATTTCTGAAGGGCTTAGATCACTGACACACTTCAAACACCATTTGTTTAAATGTTAAAATCTTTGGAATAATGATAATGTCTGTGTAGCTTTTTGTAGTGCATGAATCAGTTCTGTTGTGTTAGTGTGCTTGCCCCTCATACCAATCCACAGGAGGATTCCCTCATTTTGCTGGCTATTAAACCAGGGTTCTGTGGGTGTCATAGCAGAGGGGTTACTGATTTTTTTGAGGACCTGCTCTGAACTCAAATCTCTGAAAAGACCTTGGTATGTGTTAGCTCATTTCATCCTCACAACCTCTGGTTTCATAGAACAGAGAACTGAGGCTCAGAGACACAGTCTTTTGGGTCACATGGCCAGATAATGGTAGAGTCAAGGTTTGAAAAGAGAGATGTATCTGACCTCAAGCCTTTTCTCTTTCCCATTTGCTAGTGGTCCTCAAGGGGTGGTCCCTGGACTGGGGGAAGCTGGGCATAACCTGGGACTTATCACCATGCAAATCCTCAGACTCCTTTAGCCTTGGACCCTCTAGATCAGACATCCAAGGCTGACTCTTGGCAGTGTATGTTTTAACAAGCCCTGAGGGGCCTCTGATTAAAGGCTGAGAACCACTGCCCTGTGCTAGCAAGTGTGTGCCTGATGGAAAGGCAAATGGATTTACTAACAGAAAGAAATAGGAGATGCTGGCCACAGGGGACACTTGCTTTGAGGACAAGGGAGAAAGCACAGTTGTCACCTTCCCAGGGGTGGCCACTCCCACCACTAAGCCTAGCTGCATACACAGTGAGGACTCATGGGACCCTGACAGGTCACCCTGTAGATGATGTGTGAGCCCCATGAGACCAACATTAGACAAAATGAAACCATTTATGTGGCCCATGGCAGAGGACACTCGCCTAGAGCAGGAGTCAGGCAAGCCCTGCGAGTGAGTGAAGGGGGCTGCTGGCCACTGAGGGGTGCCGGGACAGTGGGACCAAGAGCCCAGGCTCCTGAGGCAGCTACCCCTTGGCTCCAGCCAACAGGTCCTGTGTTGCCAGAGTTGCTGGTTTTTACTCTTAAATCTGGATTTCAATGCTGGGAATGTAGGTTTTGATGAATCTTCTAAGTTTTGAAGGTTGGTACTAGAACTCCACTGTACGAAGTACCAAGGAGGACACTCACCCACATCTGAGAGCTGCCCTGGCCACAGCCCTCCAGGCTGTGTCTGCAGTGAGCACTGCTTATCTTTCTTGAGATTCTCAGTGAGTTTCCATGGGTTAAGTTTTATTGGAAGTATGGAAAGTACAGTTAAGATAGATAACTGACTATCAAATCTAATTGTCAAGTGTCCTGGTGACTCACTGGGATGTAACGTGACTGGGCATTTGCTTGGTGGCATGTGACTTGCCCATGGCTTGATGGATCCCATCTTGACCCCTGCATTTGGGAACATGGTCAGCATAACGGAAGGTGCACAGGCATCTGTGAAGGGCAGCAGACCCCATGGCACAGAGTACAGGGTCCACACTGGTGGTCAGCTCATGGTGGGTGTCTAGTGTAGACTGCAGAGAGATTCCTTCAGGTGGTCTGTGACCCCTACCCCTGATTGAGTGTTTCCTCTATGTCAGATACCAGGGTAAATTTTGGGGGCAATGTCGTCTCTATATTGGGTATTTTTATCTCCCCTTTGAAGTAGCAAGAGGCAGGTCACATCCAAGTTCACATCTAACCAATTACAAAGATTCCACCACACCATTCCCCCTGTTTGGATGTTCAAATTATAATCTGATGCCATGTTGAAACTGAAAAGATAAATTTTCCTCTCAAGACAGGATTGAAAGAGAAGTTGAAAATACTGTTACTCTGTGGCTGAGAAAGAAAAATGCCTTCTGTGTTCTTCCTGTTACTGTCCCAGCCTTGTTAGTGCCGCTCTGCTCTTTCCCTTTAGTCTGCAGACCTTCAGGAGGTCATGTTCACAGCTCTCATAAAGGACAGACCCAAGTTTGTCCGCCTCTTTCTGGAGAATGGCTTGAACCTGCGCAAGTTCCTCACCCACGACGTGCTCACCGAGCTCTTCTCCAGCCACTTCAGCACCCTTGTGTACCGGAACCTGCAGATTGCCAAGAATTCCTACAACGACGCCCTCCTCACCTTTGTCTGGAAACTGGTCGCAAACTTCCGGAGAGGCTTCCGGAAGGAAGACAGAAATAGCAGGGATGATTTGGACGTAGAATTCCACGTATGTACTGGGAGAATGCTCTGATATTTTGAGTCTTCCTTCAAAAAATATCTCTACCTCTGTCTTTCCCACCCCCTGCCATGAGGTAGTTAACACATGACGTTGCCTTTACTTAAACTGAGGCTCTACCTGGCAAGGCTTCTAATAATCTTGCATTACACTGCATGCTATGTTTAAACTGGTTGTAGTTTTCATAATTGCACAGCTGGGTGTGGTATACATTCTGGAGACATCTAACAGGGAACAGGGACAAACAAGTGGTCCCCTGCTCAAATCTTAGGCCAGTGGTCCCCTGCCCATGTCTTAGCCCAGTGGTCCCCTGTCCATGTCTTAGCCCAGTGGTCCCCTGCCCACGTCTTAGCCCAGTGGTCCCCTGCCCATGTCTTGGCCCAGTGGTCCCCTGCCCATGTCTTAGCCCAGTGGTCCCCTGCCCATGTCTTGGCCCAGTGGTCCCCTGCTCGTGTCTTAGCCCAGTGGTCCCCTGCCCATGCCTTAGCCCAGTGGTCCCCCACCTTTTAGATACCAAGGACCAGTTTTACAAAAGATAGTTTTTCTATAGACCTGTTGGGAGGATAGTTTAGGGATGACTCCAGCACATTACAGCTCCATCTCTGATCATCAGGCATTAGATTCTCATAAAGAGGTGCTGTCTAGATCCTTCCCATGTGGTTTATAGCAGGGTCCATGCTCCCATGAGAATCTAATGCTGTTGCTGATCTGATAGGAGGCGGAGCTCAGGCGGTGATGAGAGGGATGGAGAGCGGCTGTTAATACAGATGAAGCCTCACTCACTTGCCCTCTGCTCACCTCCTGCTGTGCAGCCTGGTTCTTAACAGGCCATGGACTGGTACTGCTCCTTGTCCTGTGGGTTGGGGACCCAAGTCTTAGCCCACTGGATGTGATTTCCTTAAAATAGCTCCTTGCTCTACAAGCATATTAAGGGCTAAAGAACAGGCAGGTGTTTTTTTGGGAATAAAAGGGGCTGTGAATATGCTGCATTCATGACAGGAAGCTGTGTAGGCACCACCTTACTCCCGGGCCTCTTGCTTTAAGTCAGGGCAGCCCTGTTTCCAGTTGCCAACCCCTGTGACTATCAGAGATTGGTGCCCACGTACCTGAGCCCCCTCCAGGTGGAGCGGAGGGGCCGACTGGAGGCCTGTGCTGCACTGGCTCTGGGAGTTGCCTGGGGGCTCATCTCTAGTTACCCAGTGAGATAGCTTAGGTGATAATGCATCTTTTCTTGGTTTCTTTTATTTTTTTTAAATATAGTTAATTTTCTCGTTTGTTTTTTTTTTATTGCAAGGGTACATGTCAAATATATTGATAGTAGAGTATAAATGTCTAAACACAACACTTAAATAAGTGAGGTTTCTTTCCTTTCTGATAGCATTTCTTCACTCCTCTATTGATTTTCATTGAATTGAATAAGCTGCTTACCTCCAATTCTTATCTCAGGATTGCTTCTGGCAGAACCCAGACGAGATCATTATCTTTTGTAATGATTCTGTGCATGTGTGTGTGTGCACGCACAAGCTCACACGCAGGTATATGTTGCAAAAATGTAAGTGAGCTGAGTGTTTGCAGGAATTGGAAGCATTTAGAGAGCTTCTGTTCCACTCTATTTATGTTAAATCCCTTTGCAATATGCATAACTGTACCTCGTGCATTTTACGTACTGGTACAACTTGTAAGAATTTTCTATCTGGAAAGCTTCCGCTGGAAGGTACACCAGGCTGAATAGGAGCTGGGGTTCTAACTGATGTATTAGGAATCAAATCTTTAACAGTCCAAAGAAATAGGTCTAGTTTTAAGTTGGGATAAAATTGAACTTAAACTGTAGGAAAGTTGGGATTTAGTTTGAAAGATTCTTTTCTAGAAGAGAAACAGATTTATAGGATGAGAAGGAATTGTTTTCTCTTTGGGCTGTCATTCAGTTTTTAAATTACTCTCAGCACATTTTATTTCAACCTTTATACTTCTCTATCTATGTTGTACTTTGCCTTTTATAATAGATAAAAGATTTTGTGTCAAATTAGACCACCCAGTGAGGTGCAGAGATGAAAATCTCATCACTGGTCCCTATGCTGTTAAAATGGACTCATACACAAAGCTGCAGATCCTCCCAATGTGGGGCTCCATCCCAGGGCTTTCTGTTCCCACTTTTATTGTGACAGAGGGGCCCCTGAAATGATTTCCCTTTGCACATGCTGACTGTATGCTTCCCCCCTCCAGGATGTGTCTCCTATTACCCGGCACCCCCTGCAAGCACTGTTCATCTGGGCCATTCTTCAGAACAAGAAGGAACTCTCCAAAGTCATATGGGAACAGGTAGGTGTCTAAGCCCACACCAGATCTATGCCAAATGTGTGCATTGTTATAGCAGGTCTGATCTTCTCAAAACTCATGTGCCTAATTGAAATCATCACTAACAAGGACATCTGATGTCCATGAACATGGTTGTACCTCTGTTAATGTGTTTGGGGAGTGGTTCCTGCAAGTCAATTGTTCTTGGTGGGCAACCTGGTAGGCATCTGCTTCTGTGGGGTGTGTGTATGGGTGAGGGTGTGACTGTTTCTGGGTGGATAAAGTTTTTAAATTTAATTTTAAAAGTTAATTTCTAGGGTTGGGCGTGGTGGCTCATGTCTGTAATCCTAGCACTCTGGATTGTCTGAGCTCACAGGTTCGAGACCAACCTGAGCTAGAGTGAGACCCCCATCTCTAAAAATAACCAGGCATTGTGGCAGGTGCCTGTAGTCCCAGCTACTTGGGAGGCTGAGGCAAGGAAGTCACTTGAGCCCGAGAGTTTGAGGTTCCTGTGAGCTGTGATGCCATTTTCTCATTACGGACAGGAAGCAGGACCTGTGAAAAATTCTGCTTTGGAAAATATTTTGAGAATTTTCTTTTTTATTTAGCATGGAATAATTTTTGTAAACGATATATGGATATGTGCACTCCATTCTCAATTTTTAGAGAATGAAATTGGATATGGAATTCAGGCAGCCTTTCTGGGAATGTTGTCTGGGTCTTCTGTGTTCTTATCCTCCCCCCCACCAACTCTTGGAGATGTGTCAGTATGAGAGAGGGTTAGTCAGACCTCCTACCATCATTGTCTTCTGTCATTTTCTCATGACTTTATCTTGATATGATATTTTGTATGCTGATTCCAAGTTCAAGACCTCAAGCACATCCAGGCTCAGGGTTATTTTGTGCTCATTACAAATTTTACTTTGCATCATTAGGAACAGTTTAGATTCTACCATTGCCTCCTCTGCCATGAGTTCCTCCTCTGAGGAGTGTTGACTTGAAGGCGTTATGAATTAACTGTAAAATTCTCCACCCCCCCCCCCCATGAAAAGACCAGGGGCTGTACTCTGGCAGCCTTGGGGGCCAGCAAGCTCCTGAAGACTCTGGCCAAAGTGAAGAATGATATCAATGCTGCTGGGGAGTCTGAGGAGCTGGCGAATGAGTATGAGACCCGTGCCGTCGGTGAGTCCCCAGTGACAGGACACCACAGTGGGGGCAGGTCTGTCGTGTGTGACACTCGAGTCCCCAGTGACAGGACACCACAGTGGGGGCAGTTTGCCACATGTGACACTTGAGTCCATGGTGACAGGACACCACAGTGGGGGCAGGTCTGCATGTGTGACACTTGAGTCTCCAGTGACAGGACACCACAGTGGGGGCAGGTCTGCCGTGTGTGACACTCGAGTCCCCGGTGACAGGACACCACAGTGGAGGCAGGTCTGCCACATGTGACACTTGAGTCTCTGGTGACAGGACACCACAGTGGGGGCAGGTCTGCCGTGTGTGACACTCGAGTCCTTGGTGATAGGACACCACAGTGGGGGAAGGTCTGCCACGTGTGACACTCAAGTCCCTAGTGATAGGACACCACAGTGGGGGCAGGTCTGCCATGTGTGACACTCGCGGGCCAGGTGGCTGAGGTTAGCGGCATGTCGGAGCTCTCCCTGCCAGCCTTACTGAGGGCTGCAGGCCCCAAGATCTGGGTACACAGAAGCCACAGCCTCCAGGCCCTGGCCCCTGTGGATGTTTCTAAGAGTGAACATGCTTGGGTGTGCAGGGTTTTTTTGTTTCTTTGGATTTTAGACTTGTGTTTTGCTGTTACAACACTGTGACAGGTCTGAGATTTACCCTGACTTTTGAACTAACAAGTTAGCCTGTCAGTTTCATATACAGAAATATTCTGCCAAAGACTCCAGCCCTCTGGGTCTGCGACACGTGTGGTTAGCACTGACGGCAGAGGCAGCGGCCCGAGCAGCATCGTGGGCTGCTTCCCCAGCCCCAAATCCCCACAGGTGACTCCAGTAATGGCCGGTGCTGCCAGTTGTGTGCTTCCTGGAAGTCAGGAGACTCTGAGCTTTCTGTGGGGGCTGCGGTGAGATTGCTCATTACCTGGCGTGGAGGAGGGGACGGGCGTCCTGAGCGTTGCAGGACCTGTGACCTCTGTGTGCTGTTTAGTCCGTGAACAAAGCTTGTCAGTGCCTCTGTGCAGAGGCCAGGTCATTCAGCCTGTGATGAATCAGGAAGTCGCCTCCAACCAGCAGAGAGGTGTTGGCCTCCTCCGTTTTCTGTTTTCACCTGGTGGGTTTTAGTTTGTGATGTGCTGTGTGCCTCTGTGCTTGGCTCTCGTCTTCTTTAATGTAAAAGGTTTTCTAGCTTCTCTGTGTTAGGAAAAAGATGTCTAATTATTTCTTTTAATGTACTAAAATTTTAAGGATATTATGGTCACTTCCAGATGACCTCAATTAGGCAATGGTTCCTAATATCTTGACTTTTAAAAAAGTTTCCTCTGACAATCTACACTCCAATTTCTTTGTCATTAGGCAATGGAATACAGGAGACCCTCCACAGCTGGCCACCTCCCTAGGCCACACCCTCAGAGCTCCTGGTGGAGCCTCCACAGCTGGCCACCTCCCTAGGCCACACCCTCAGAGCTC